AGACCATGACAAGGGCAAGGTTGTAATGTCCTTCAACTCTAGATCACATCTCCACTGCTCCGAAAGAAATACGAGGTCAAGCGTGTGCCCAGCTGAATGAGTCGAGCCCTGAATTACTTGGGCCAAGTCTATGGCTGTCACGGAAGCCATGAACTCCTGCGCCCTGTCAGAACGTTCGCCAAGTGTAGGCAGGTTGAAATCCCCCAGAACCATAAGCCTGGGGAACTCTACTGCCAACTCGGCTACTGACTCGAGGAGCGAGGTGAGGACTGTTGCAACGCTGTTGGGAGGTAGGTATGTTAGCAACAAACCCACTTCACCACCAAGGTCCAACTTCATCAACAGAGACTCACACCCAACAAGCTCTGGAGCAGGGATCCTATGAGGAACTAAAGACCTTCGGACAATGACAGCCACTCCCCCACCCCTTTCTCTGGGGTCGCGGCTGATGAAGCACCTGAAAACCCTCTGGGCACATCTCAATGAGGGGGACTCCTCCCTCCGGGCCCAGCCAGGTTTCAGTAATACATACCAGGTCTGCCCCCTCGTCTAAAATTAGTAACTGAATGTAACAAATAAATAAGAAATAAGGAATGAACTGGAAAAATCCAATAAATGCAATCTTCGCCTTATAGGGTGTGAGGCTTATAAGTATGTGTATGTCTATAAAAGAGTGAATTTTGTTTGATCTGGCCCAATACAACTTTCTAATAATGCACTTCATTTTTTGCCAATCCTTTTCAAACTTTTACACTGCTTTTTAAAATGACGCAGTGTTTAGTTTATTAAATGGATTATTTGATATCTCCTGAATCTAACAAGTGCTAGGATTGGTGATGATTCTAGAAAAATTAGACCCAGGTGCCTATAAATCAAGACATAGCCAAGACAGGACCCAGTTTTTTTCATGTCAGAAAGCATATTGAGATACACCAGAGTTAAAACATTTATTGGGAACAATGTTAATGCTCTTTTATATTTTAAATTGTAATATTAGATTTCAGGTTCTAGTACCTTTAATGAATCTTCTTGAGTAGAAAAGTCTTCATAGATTGCTGAATGAAGTTCTGGAGCATTTAGCAAGAGCTCAGCATCCGCTATAACCAGCAAAATCTTGTTAATTTCAACCAGATATTCTGCAGGGAATGGAGATTCCTTGCTCATTGATGACTGAGCCCCTTGAATCCTTTGTGGAGTTGCCTAAAGCAAAGTAAACTTCAGTTAAGTAATTCTTTAGAACTAACCACATTATAAAAATGCAAGAAAGGTTCATTTATTTGCATTTCCATTACTTTCTAACCTTAAGATTTAATGCTATTTTTAATTAAATAATTCTTCAGATGATGCTATGTTATAATTACAAGGAAGTGTTTCCACTGTGACTAAATCAGGTGTTCTCGTGAATTAATTCCTCTTATCCTTTTGCTTAGCTTTTAACTACATGACACGTAAATTACTAGATGAGCAAGTATATATGGTAAAACAATATTCTAATCAAACAATGATATCCTTTCTAATTAAGTAGTTCCAGTTGCATTAAAAAAGGAAAGGATTCTTTCTGCCACACTGAAATGTATTCCCCTGAAATGTATATATCCACATTCTGATAATCTTTAGTTAATTCAAAAATATAGACTTCAAGATCTATTGCAACATTGCTTACACCCAAAGATTTCTTTCTTTAATCAGATACCTGGACCACAATGTCCAGTTCATAAAGTGGCTTTTCATAATAGTACGTAGTCGTAGAACAAGGACCTAGTAGCATATTCTCACTTGTAACTCCATCCATAGTATATGAACCAACTACTCACTGCATATTTATGAGGAAGATAACCTCATAAAGTCTAATATTTAGATCCCAAAAGAACACTGTATATTTGGAAATATTGCTACTGAAATCAGTGGATTTGCTTAAGTTATGTACTCTAATAAATTGATATAAAAATGAAACTAAATATATTTCACAATTGTTCTCATTAGTATCAAATAAATGAGGGTTCATTCTCATTTAAATATGTAACAATATGATTGCATAAGGAAAACCAAAACGACATGCACCAAATGCCTTTTTAATATGTCTTGCATGTCATTTTATTTTATTAAAATATTACCTTTTCATAACGAAGCTAGTGAAAACTCATTGATCGATATACTTTTGGTATGCATTGTTGAAAGTTTGCATGCAAATCCAAATATCAATCCTGCCCCTGCCTGAAAGCCTCTAGCAAACATAGAAAGTTTTGATCAACGATAGCAAAAAAAGTAACACTTTGGAGAGCAACACTTTTATTTAAGGCTTAAGCTTATTCCAAGGAACTCCATCTGCATAACTATCCTGTCTTCCCTTCGCCTCCCCACTCCAAGATATTTAAATAACACATCAGTCAAGCTACTTCATGCTTCTGACAGATGAAATGAGTTGCAGTTCATTAAACCCTTATGCCTTAAATAAAATTGTTAGTTCAAAAGCTGCTACCAGACTCTGTCCATGTTTTGGCTATTAAATGTTAGTTTAGTTTTATTTCCCTTTTTATATCAATTTTGTGCTTTGATTGTTTCCAAGGGGGCAAATATATAATGAAAACATTGCCACCCTCTGTCTATGAAGATTCTCAGTCATCCAGGTCATGGTTGTTTCAAAGATGCATTTTTTTCAAGGGGCTACTGGATTTTCTTGTTTTTCTTTGAAGATCTTTCGCTTCTCATCGAAGAAGCTTCTTCAGCTCAGAATTCAGAGCTGAAGAAGCTTCTTGGATGAAAAGCAAAATATCTTTAAAGAAAAACAAGAAAGTCTAGTTGTCATATGAAAAAAAACACCTTAGCAATTGTCACCCTCTGTTTCCAGGCCACTTCAATGATACTTGAAAATAACCAAATCACATATCACTGTCACCAACACTGTGATTCACCAGTGATCTATCCAGTCAGTCACTTCTTTGGTTATCAGAACAGATTGGAGATGTAATATTATGGGGCTCCTATGCCATAGATACTAACAAAAGAATTAGATCTCAAATGAAGCACTTTGAAAGATGGCTCCTGCAGCATGGCATGGCCCTATCTCCTTACAGGGTGTGATTTTTGAAGGGCTGTGTTTTATAACATTATACATTATCTCAGAGAACTAAGTTTTATATTAGCATAAACATTATATAATTGTAGATTTGGATTCCCAGATGCTGGTGATAAAACAATAATAAATGCTAATCTTCATGGCTTCCAAGGGCATCTGGCTAATTACTGTGGGAAATATAACACTGAGGTGATGGTTTTTAGCATGCTCCCACAAGGTCAGCCATTCAACAAAACACACAGTTACTGCTTCTATTAATTAACATTGCATCCTACTTTTCCTGCAAGGAGTTCATATTAACTAGAAGTGGTTGCTAGATAAAATAGAAGCAATATACTAGATAAAAAAATCCCCAATTGGCACATTTCTAAAATGGGTCAGTCAAATCCTGACACACAAAAAAGTGATTTATTTGTTTTCTGAATTACACTGTTGGAGTCCATTCCAGAATGAAGATCATTAAGATCCCCAGTAGCAAAGTCTTAGACAGTTGCAATTGTTTGGCACAATGTAGGTGGCAAACAGGGAAGATTAATGAGAAACTCAAACCCCTGGTCAAGGTTCAATTCAAAATATAAGGGAAAAACTATAATTTGTTAGATCCCTTGAAATAAAATGCCTTTGAAACAGAAAGGAAAGTTTGGGTAATCAACAGTGAGTGGGGGAGGGGGGGTTGAGAGAAAAAGTGTAAACTCCAACTAGGCAACCTCAAGCTAAAAATTAAACCTTAGGGTGGGTTCACATATACTTCAAATTAACAGATGAATTCTTTACATTTCTGTAACTGTAAAGAGCATCCCCTGGTCTTCATGGAAATAGAAATCAGGACAGTGTACCTGTAACTATTGAATAGCAATATATACAATGGCCACTTTGCATAATTGATCTTCAAATCAATGAAGAATCTCTTATCCTTCCATTAAGCAATTCTTAATATTTATCCTAAGAAAGGAGGGTTTAATAGTTCACCTGCTGTTACTCTAAAGGACCTGTGGAGTGATGCACTCTGCCAAAAAAAAGTTGTCAGAGACCAGATAAAAGTGGATAGTTCTGGGAAGAATTATTCTTTTTTTTCTGTGCACCAATAAATACTACATCTCAACATACAGATCCCTTTATTTTTTTGAAGGGGATGTAATGCAACCCCACTTTTTTCATAGGAACTAGTTACTCTAATATTTAGAACAATATCCAGAAAGACATGAATGGACAGCAGCTAACAATTTGCTTTGTGTTAAAGAAGATCTGCAGATAGATTTAAACTGATATAAGAGTTGTAAAATATGGTTTCTGTAACTATGCGGTGTGGGGGAAGAAGGGAAGAGTAACAAAACACGTCTATGGATATTTTCAATCACATATTTAACAAAACTTATATTATGTAACAAACTATATATTGTGATGAAATGACATAAATCTCATAATCTTAATACAGTTGATGTCAAGATGCAAGTACAAAATGCTGGGATTGCATTGTTATGTTTGATTGTCAAGATGATTTTTTTTAATGAAACTCAATGGATCTTCTCCATTTGTCAACTGTGTGGATTTCAATTCCCAGAATTTTTATCAATGCGTATGTTGGTTAACACATTCTGAAAGTTGAAATCAACACATCTGAAAGATGCCCCCAAGTTGGGAACACCTATTATTTTTTTAACCATTCTTGACGATCACAGCTTACTTTATGTGGGAGTTTGTTATAGAGTTTTCTAGGGTGACTGATGGGCCATCTATACAGCAACACTAACACTGAAGGAAGAAACATTCAGTATATGATCAGTAGATCAAAACTGCCTCTTTACAAGCTCCTATTAGCCTCGGGAAAAGAAAATGAATATAGCTACTACTGTCGAGCAGACCACTATTATTCTATATTACACAGAACTCATTTTGAGATTTGAACATTCCTTTATCTCATCCTCAATTGGTTTTAGATTTACAAGTTACAGAAGAGTCATAAAGAGATTGATTAATTTAATTATGAAGCTCCATAACCAGTAATGCAAAAGGATTTGATAGATTGCCTAATACACAAGCCTGTCCCAAAAATTACTTACTGCTCCACAAGTCTCATTATATAAATAAACGTAAAACAAATCCTATGGCAGACTAAGAATCTGAAAAAAGTGGATCCATTAGAAACAGAAAATGAAAAGTCATTGCATATAGGCTTGAATTATTGAAAGAGTTTCTTAAATTAGCTATCAACATCCTCTCAGTAGGCAGGAATCTCTGTCCTGAATCACTATTACGATCAATCACATTTTCAAAAATATCTGACTCATTGGTATAAAATCCAAACAAAAAATAGTACAGGTAGTCCTTGGCTTCTGACTACAATTGAACCCAAAATTTTTGTTGCTAAGCGAGACATTTGTTACATGGGTTTTGCCCAATTTTACAACTTTTCTTGCCACAGTTGTTAAGTGAATCTGGCTTCCCCGTTGACTTTGCTTGTCAGAAGGTCATAAAAGGGGCTCACACGATCCAGGGACACTATAACCATCATAAGTATGAGTCAGTTGGCAAAGCATCTGAATTCTGACCACGCAACCATGGGACTGCTACAAGGGTTGTAAGTGTGAAAAACCATAACAATGTCATTGTAACTTCAAATGGTCACTAAATGAACTGTTGTAAATCGAGGACTATCTGTATAAATAGTGTGTCTCTTTAGGAATTAATTAGAACTAAGGTTTAAGCAAGCCTCTCAGTTAACCAAAAACCTCGCTAAAAGTTACCTCTTTTCTCATTGGACTTTATACTAATGAGTCAGATATATTTGAAAAATATCATTGTAATGGTGATTTAGGAGAGAGATTCCTAACTAGTGAGAGAATATTGATAGCCAATTTAAGAAGCTCTTTCAATAATTCAAAAATACATACAATAACTTTTCATTTTCTGTGGTTATAATCAGTTGGGGGTATTCTTTGAATATATGAAGAATATGGGTAAAGCTTTTCACTGAAGTTGTGGAAATCAGTGGCTATGAGCTTTGATGGCAGTGGGAATACCTCTGAAGGTCATTTATAAGAAATTAGTAAGCTTCCTTATAGGATTTATTGACCACTGGGAAAAGAGGTCAAGTGTCCAATCTAGTGTGGCACTTTGTAGGTTCTTACATTCTTATGTTTAGTTAAAGATGAGCTTTAGAAAATATTCATAATCATCTCTTGCTTCATACTATAGGCGAATGTATTTCATATTCACGGGGGACACAAAATCCATATAGCTTAGTTCAAGAACTGTTCAATTAGAGAGTGATTCTGAGGTCACTGTAATGTGTTCCTATCACTTCTGAGCCCAATTTAAAGTATTAGGTATTAATTATAAGCTGTACAGCATAGTACCGGGTTGTATCTGTCACAGTTTTGATTTGTATAGTTAACACTATCTGTCTGGTTCATCTTGGAAAGGCTGCTAAGTCACTTTTTCATTCAAGGTACGTGAGATTTGAAGAAGACAAACAGTGGAATAAGTTTGAATTAGTTCTCCAGAATAAATTAATTATTCGGGGGGGGGGCAGTATTACCTTAAAAACAGAGTTAAAACATTAGTTTTGAACAAATTATTACATTTCGAGCAGCACAAACCAAGTGATCCTTATGCAACCTAAACATGATAGAGTTCAACAGTCATAATTGCCCAGCAGCTTGTCAAAAAAATAAGCTGAGATTCTACCACTCCTGTGTCAGGCCTCGCGGAATGCACTAGAGGAGGATTGTCCGATGCCAAAAAGGAAAAACTTCTTCAGGAAAAAACTCCAACGGGAAAAAGCCAAAATGGAAAAAACAAAGGAAAAAAGGGAAAAATATTCCGCGCCAAGGAGAGCCAGGTATTTAGCTCCTTCTGGGCTGAAGACTGAGGTTAATCTGGAGAGTCAGAGGAGAGGTAGAGGTGTGGCCTCAAGATTTACCTCAGTTTCCGGGCAGATGGGCGGTGACAATACCCAGCTGTGACTCCTCCCACACCCCACTTCGGAGACAAGCTGAGATTCAACCTATGTGCAAGCACAAGTTTGGAAACACTGGGATGGACAACAGGAATTATTAAGAACAAATGTATTGAAATGTATTGAACAAATGTATTGAAACATAAATGAGTGGTTTATATTAAAAATAATTTACCTTTGTTTTCTCCCTCTCTTCAGCTTCTTGAAGTCCAGAAAGACTAGCATCTGTTTCACTAAGCCACTGCAAGCGACTCTCTGCTTCCATTTCATATGGAGTAAATGAAGGTGAAAGTTCTAACACCTGCCTCCTTTGTAATGACCGAAGCTCCTACCACCCAAAAAGAAAGGTTATAAAATTAATAATTAAGGTCATAAGATGGGTGTGGGGAACTATGGCCCTTTTATGACTTGTGGACCTCAACTCCCAGAATTCCTGAGTCAGCCATGCTGGTCTAAGAGAAGAATCTTTTCTGTCCTAGCCTCTGTCCTTTGGAACATCTTGCCACCAGAGATGAGATCTGCCCCCAACCTTCTGGCCTTTTGGAAGGGCCTTAGGACCTGCATCTGCTGGATGATTTGAGGCCCCAATGGAAAGGCTCCAGTTTAGAAATGGTTGGTGCAGTTACTTAAAAGACACCATTTTCATTTCAGTCAAGCCTTTTGTTTTTAGTCTATATTTAATACTTGCAATTTTTAAGTCATTTTATATTTAAAATTCTTCTTATATTTATATTTTTATTGCATTATAAGCTGCCTGAGTCACATAGATAGTGAGATGGATAGCATATAAATTTAATACCGATAACCCTCGTCTTACAACAGTTCATTTAATAACTGTTCGAAGTTACCACAGCACTGAAAAAAAGTGAGTTATGACCATTTTTCACACTTAGGACCCCTGCAGCATTGCCACGGTCATGTGATCAAATGGTTCATGTTTTCAGTGTCCCAGGGCCATGTGATCCCCTTTTGCTACTCACTGACAAGCAATGGGAAATCCAGATTGACTTAACAACAGTGCTACTAGTTTAACAACTGCAGTGATTCACTTAACTAATGTGGCAAGAAAAGTCGCAAAATGGAGCAAAAGTCTCTTAACAAACTTCTTGCTTAGCGACGTAAGTTTTGGGCTCAATTATAGTCATAAGTCAGGGACTACCTGTAAACAAATAATGATAGTAGAGAGGAACAGGCAGAAAGGTGGATTCTATAGGTCTCACAGATAATTAAATTTTTAGGTGTGTATAAGGCTTCTGAGGGAAGAAAGAAGTCACGTCTAAAACATTATAGATCTACTGCACAGGAAGGCTACTTTCACTGACCTTTGCGCTGCTTTGCTTGGTCTGAAGAAGGAGGAGCTGCAAGCGAATTTTTTCTCTTCGGTTATCTTCTATGAGCTGCTGTAACAAATGCTCACCTTTTTGCAGAACTTCCTCAATTTGAGCTTTTTCTTCATCCAGCTACAATTTTAGAAAGAAGGACATGTTTTCAGGAGTACTTGGGGCAACCAGCTTTTGTTATTCCCAAAGAGTAAGATAGTACAGAGAAACGAGTATAGCATGGCTGTGCATGTTTAAAAACTATTCAGAAAAAATGCTGCAGGCCTCATTCGAGCACAGCATCTCTCTGCTCTTCATTCAAGGAACCATGCACAAAGTTGAAAAAAGAAAGAAAAATACATCAATCCCACAAAAAAAATCACCTTTCTTTGGGTTGGCACCCATAACAGAGAGGTATTCTGTTGCATGAGTTTGGAAGTATTTCCTCAGAATCCTTTTTTGAAGAATGCAGGACTCTAATTATAATAGTTTTATCCGCCACAAAGAATCAGTGAATTCATATTTTGCTGTGAATTCATTAGGAGATCAATTGTAATTACTGACTTTGCAACATGTAATTGTGTGACAACACAAAACAGTCTTCAATGAAGACACCAAGTGTTAAAATAATAATCTAATATTCTGTATCTATATTTATATCTCCTCACTTTTGCAACAAATTTCCTTTGTTGCAAAAGTAAGTCGGGGCTCTGATTCAGCAACTCTTGCCCATTCTAGCAATCTCCAGGAGGAGCAACAGCAGTTGCGGGAAATCACGGTTGAACATCTCCTACACTGCCTATGCTTCCAGTGTAATACAGGTAGTTCTCGACTTATGACCATGATTGAGGCCAAAATTTCTGTTAAGTGAGACATTTGTTAAGTGAGTTTTGTCCAATTTTATAACCTTTCTTACCACAGTTGTTAAGTGAATCATTGCAGACATTTAAAACACGGTTGTTAAGTGATTCTGGCTTCCCCATTGGCTTCGTTTTTCAGAAGGCCATAAAAGGGACTGTCTCTTGCCAGTCACATCTACCCAATCCATTAGAGTGGGAAGGCAGGGAACGTTGTGGGTCCCACCCCCGAGGGCGATACACCTGGCGGGACCCAGAAGGGCCTTCTCCATGGTGGCTCCCTCTCTCTGGAACATCTTTCCCCCCAGAGATTGGAATGGCCTCCACTCA